AAGGTGACTTGGATTGACTATAACGTATAAGGAATAATGTACAGTCAACTGGTTGTTATAGAGTTATAGAGGCGGTTTGTTTTTTGAACCAGAGACAGGATTACTGAGTACTCAGTATATCTAGAAAGAAACAAGACAGAGCAGTTTAAGCACTTCTACTGGAGAATATTATTTAATCAGAATATATTGTTCCAAAGTTTCTCTGTGACAATGTTTAGGTACTGCACGTGTGATACATATATACTTATTAGTTTCATGAATACCTTATCCTGTTGCATTCGCTGTATGATGTCGTCAGAAACGTTTCTTGACTTCAAAAAGTCATGAAGGTCATCCATCCTAGAAGACAAAATCTAGGCTACATATGCTACGTGAATTATAATCTTTTGATTTTGTGATTCTTTATGTGCAATAGGCCTACTTCTGTAATCATTTTGTGACTTACGTGGGGTGATCCTTTCAAGAGTGGGTTTGCTCAGTAGTCCATGCCGTTCTGCTAATTAAGGCAATAATATCATCAAACCAGGTTTAAAATTCCATATAAAATACTCCTTAACGTGTTCACATTATGGCCTTCTATAATCGTGTGTCGTGTAGATCAGTGAGCCAGCAATAAGTCATAATTTCGACTTTTTATCTCAACATTTGGATTTAATAAATCATAATTTAAATTTTGTATCTCGTAATTATGACTTAAGTATGTCATAATTTCGACATTTTAAGGCATGATTTTTTTTCTTACCTGGCAAATACATATATATATAGCAGTTTCACAAAAATGAATTAAATTCACAATTAAATAAAAATTCACAAATAAAAAAAAGTATCCACATAGGCCTATATGTTTTTATGTCACCGACACGACTTTGCCTGGAGTAATAAAAGATACACGAAATGAACCACGAAAATAAATAAAATATAATATTCAATATTAAAAATAAGACACATTAGTAAATGGATTTGAAAAACTTTGGGATGAGAATAATAAAATGTCATGAGAGTAATAAAATGTTGGCGATATATATTAAACATTATTAATAATAACAAATTATTTGAATTTCGTTTGAATGCTTTCATGGGCACATCATGCTGAGTAATAGGCCTATAATATAATATAGCCATTTTTTAAAATGGTCTTTTTGTCATTCTTAAAGGGATAGTTCACCCAAAAATCTTTCATTAATTACTCACCCTCATGTTGTTCCAAACCCGTAAGAATTTTGTCTTAATATTAAATGTCTTATAGCTTTTTGTTAATTGTATGCCTTCTGTTATTCACTTTGAAGAAGAGACAGTGTACTGTTAAAATAACATCACTTTCAGTCTGTGGAGAAACAGAACTGAATAGCAACAGCCTAAACTTTTGAACTGATGTTGTCATTCTTGAAATACGTATTAAAGTCAGACTCTGATTAAATGCTTAAATGAGACTGGTCTCATTTTATTAAATGCATTTTATTAGATAAACTTTGAAACGTACAGTGCTCATATTTGTTTAATTGGACAAAATTCCTTAATTATGTCCTTAATTGGCTGTTGTTGCACTGGCAAAAAAAAAAGAAGCCATTTCACTACATCACATGTATGTAATGTACATAACAAACCTTTAAATGCAGCTATATATGATAATAAATGAAATGAAATTATTGACTTTTTAAAATTGTTATTAATTTATTAGTTATTACAAAGGACATTATTTATAGTTAAAGATTTAAGTAATTTATTGTTCTTTTTTTCTTTTAACACTGTGAAAAAGAATACATTTCGTTATTGGTATGGACACGAAAATAAATAAATACATTCAACTAGCAGAACTAAAACGACTTCGAAAAGCACGCTCTCTCAAAGTGCATTAAGCCCATGTAGTGACATAATGTAGCCACTAGATGTCAGTAAAAACACATTGAAGCAACTAGAAGCGGCAGATACATGTGTGCGTTTCGGGGACTTTTGTTGCTATGGGCTTAGAAAAGAACACTTTTCCATTTCTACGTGTTTACATTTTTAAATAAATCAATAATTATTCACAAATGATTGCTTGATGCATTGTATTTAACAGCATTCTGTGATGGAAATGAAATGCCAACTGCTTTATCGTGTTAAGGCTATTCATTGCTAGCATTACATGTGTCCTGCATACAGTTAAATAACATTTTTCTTTTTTTGCACAAGCTCACAAAATTACCACTTGGCTAGAAATAATTACACTCTGTTTAAAAGTGATATTTACTTTGAAACCTGGCATTAATGTTCTTCCACCAATCTACGCAACTCCAATTCAACAATGAACACAATTGAAAAGAAATAATAAATAACAGGCTACATCTTTATTATTATTGCAATATTTGCTGTTTGTCTGTTTGTATTGAGCAGATGGGTCTTCTAAACCTTTCTTTGGATTCCTACATTCCTTTTTGGTGTACTAGTTTGCATTCCCTCACATTACATCTCTTAGACAGCACCTTGTTAAGTGGCCTTCTTAAAGACAAAATCAGATGTAGCCAGAGGCATCTGCTAAGTAAAAATATTGGTGTCAATACTTAATTTGTCGAGAAACATTTTACAACTCCTCAGAGTAAGTCCCCAAAGATTCCTCACTGAACGCACCCCATAGTGCCAGAGAAACGTGGCCCCCGCTAGGTGTCTTGCCTATGGCACATTTTACCCTTTTGCGTTTGAATGTCAAGACTCTCCATGCAGAAAATTGATTCCCAATGATGCTATTGAGCAGGCAGGTCACTCAAGAGAGAAGAAAATAATCTCATGCCCCCAAAACAATGAGATGAAACCAAAATGCTGGAGATAAAGGATTGTCATGAAATTATGAAAATTGAGGAAATCGATCACGGTGCATGAAGCAGATACATGGACACTCAATAGGTTTAAACCTAAATAAGGGCATGTTTGAGACCTCAGGTTCTCGCGTCTCCGCTGAGGGAAAATATCATAGGTCACTCGCATGTAATTCATGTCATTTTTGTGTCCTCACATAAATTAACAGGATATAGTGAATCTACATTATCTGAGAGATTTAATTAGAGCAAATGTTTTTTGTTGGAAGATTGAACTTTTATAGACATTTAAAAATATCATGCTTTCACGATCTGAGTTTTTAAAAAAACATTTCTTTAAAAAAAGGGAGAAAATGCAGAATTCATCTGGTCCCGCATGCTCTGATATAATGGTTTGAAATTTAAAAAATACCCCCCCCCACCCAAGCTTAATAATTCAACTCTGTTATCGCATAAACACCATTTTGTTAATCACCAGAACATAGCCAGTGAATAATAAGGCATGGTGCAATGATATTTGTTAGCTGAGGCTAATGTGAGACATTTTTGCATTGGCATCTTTAACCCTCAATCGTGTATATGTAACAGGGTTGACACAAACACGTCTTTAAAATGAGATGGCATGAGTTATTAATATACTTACTTAAATTGAAATGTGAGCACAATAAACTCAGTTACCTGTTTAAGTTCATGTATTTGAATTCCAAACTTAATGTAACAGAGTTGAAATAAAGTGGTGCTGTAGGGTCAGCTTTAGCGTTACTAATGACAAGTCAGTCAAATAAATCAAGCTTGATAGTTCAACTTGTTATGGGATAAATATTATTATTTTAATCAGCATAACACAACCTGTTAATAATACGGTGCGGCGTAATGATGCTTGCTAGCTGAAGCCACTATTAGACATTTTTTGCACTGATCTTCAGCTCAAGAACATTTCGGATATAACAGGGCTGACAAAACGCAAAGAAAAATGGCACGAGTTAGTCAAATTTAAATAAATCATAATGTGCGATTTATGAAAAGCCTCAAATTTACCTACTCAAATCTCTGTTTGAATTCCAAACTTGCAGTAACAGGATTGACAAAGTTATGCTTTAAGGTCAGGCTTTGGGTTATTAATGACAAATAACTTCATCAAGCTTGATAGTTCAACTCTGTTAAGGGTTATACACATTTTTTTTAAATCACCAGAAAAACTGAATAATACGGTGTGGTGCAGTAATACTTGCTAGCTGAGGCCATTAATAGACATTTTTGCACTGACCTTCAACCCCAAAGCAAAGCTGACACAAAGCGCACTGCCAGAGAGAAATTGTAAGAGTTATTATAATATTAACTCAATTATATATATAATTCATTACCAGGCGCAATAAAATCAGTTAATTATTCAAATTTACATGTAGAAAACTTACAGTAACAGGGTTGAAATAATGTGATCCTTTAGGGTCAGGATTACTAATGACAAATAACTATTAGTACTCTGAAACGGTATTTTAGAATACTAGAATTAGTCATTTGATAATCTTATTTCTTGACGACTAATCTAAATACAGGAGGCACACGGTCCCCTGTGGTGGTCCCGCAGTGTCTATAGAGGTTACAGCTCTGGTGCATTTTCGAACAAAAAAATCCTGAAAGATTTGGGAGAAATTTTCTTAGAAAATCCCCATCGCAACTTCAAAACCAATCACATTCTGCATTCTAAGTCTACACACATCCTACAAAATGAGTGAATAAAACCGAAGACTGGGTTATATGTGCCACGCATCACTCTGGACTCTAAACACTCGTCAGTGCTGTCAGGGGTGTGCTTACTCCCAGCCGTCAGAAAGAATCAGCACACTTCCTCTGGTCTGGGACTAACCTGGGCCATGTGTTCAGCAGTAATTCTTCCCCTCCAGAACGGGTAAATACCCTCGGCAGAGCCCATTTCAAATTCCAGGGAAACAAAGACAGCAAGCGCTGTGAGGGACGACTGCGCACTCGCAGCCATAATGAGCCATCTGTTCAGCATGGCAGTGCAAACCAAATGTCATCAAACTGTGCTCCTTCCCTCGCCTTCGTGGCAGGTAAACCGCACTCGTAGAGCATCACTAATGCACGGCGTCACAGTTTACATCGGAGTTGAAATCGGTTTGTATCAGTGACAGACGATGTGAAGCTGAATACTGCAGTGTGGCTACGAATAATGAACTAAAATACGTCTTCAATTAAATATTTAATGCCAGCAACAATTATAGCGTAAATTTGTATGTGAAGACACAAAATAGACATAAGGCGAAATGAAAAGACAGACAGCATTCAAATAGCAATCTGAAATACAAGGTTTGAAGAAGCAGCCTCTTGCCAAAATAAAGAGTATTTGTCCTGCATGTGACCAAAATCATTATAATCTCAGTCATCTGAATAACTCCAGAATATATGATAGGCACCTTGCTTGAACCATGCAAAATTGTGAATACATTCGGAGCATTTTGGTTTTTAAAAAGTAAATGCATAAACATCTTACAGTAACCGGTCAAAATAAAACAGGCATCGAGTGTGAAACTGTAAAAGAAAGGCACATAAAATGTATAAAAAAGAACATAACAGGATTGAGAACTTCGGTTTTGCCCACTTGGAGATGAACATGATGTATTTTGGATTCCATATATTCAGGGATTGTGGAGAAATGAACAAGTGTCTCTAAAGGGGTTATTCTTCAGAGGACGGGGTTGTGTGTGACGGTGTCGACTGGGTAACACTGTCCATCTCTGCAGGATCAGAGCTCTCAGTCGATGGACTCTTCTCATGGGCGGCACCTTCTTCCTCTGCCTGGCTTTTATCGGCTTCTGTATTAGCACTCTCGTCAAAGCCGGGCCCTTCGGCCTGCGGACCATCGCCGTCGTAGATGATGTCCTCTGGGTTGGGCGCAGGAGGACAGAACTCTTCATCAGGGAGGATATGACGAAACACGGATTCAGCCTGGAAACAAACAGAAACCATCATAGTTTGCCTAAACCTACAAGAAACATAATTCAGCCTATAAGCAATATCTGATCCAATGAACGCAAGTGTCTGCCTCCCTTTGCTGGACTCACCAGTTTAATGGAGCAGTCGCTGCCCAGGCTGCCATCGGGACCGGTGCACACGTGAACGTTGCTCGGCAGGCTGTAGCTGCTGCTGTCCAGGGCTGATGTGTCCCTCATGTTGAAGTACATGACCCACAGCACTGCCGGCTTGCTTCTCTCCTCTGCACCTGCATGTGATGTTTAAACAGTCATTCCTTCTCAATGTCTTGACATAAGAAGGCCTTGCATTTCAGATGTCTTACTCTTGACAATTCTGAAAAATATATTAAGCCAAATCTGGGCTAAAACGGTAATACCGTTAAAGCTCATTACAATTAAAAAAAGCTGTTTTCTATTTGAATATGTTTTCAAATGTAATTTATTCCTGTGATCAAAGCTGAGTTTTCAGCAGCATTACTCCACCCTTCAGTGTCACATGATCCTTCAGAAATCTTTCTAATATGCTAATTCAAGAAACATTTATCATTATCAATGTTGAAACCGCTTTTGCTGCCTCATATTATTGTGTAAACTGTGAAACACTAGCATTTTTATAAAAAAAAAAAACATAAATGATGATTGAGCACCAATAATAACTGATAATAATGATTCACCAGCATATTAGAATCATTTCTGAAGGATCATGTGACACTAAAGGCTGGAGTAATGATGCTGAAAATTCATCTTTGAATCACAGGAATAAACTACATTTTAAAAATATAAAATAAAATAAAAAAAAAAAGTTTTTTTTTTGAATTATAATAATATTTCAATATAATCGTTTTTTTTACACAGTATTTTTGATCAAATAAATGCAGCCTTGGCGAGCAGAAAAGCCTTGTTTTAAAAACAAAAACACTAGAGTATAATATATTATTTATGAACAAAAGAATTGTTTTCATTTTTAAAACAAACTAATTTTTTTTTTATAAAATAAAATAAAATAATCAGGGCTGTGGAAAGTCTTCGAAGGTGTGCACAGAAACATTACAACCTAAATTGTTGGTGTTGGATATTTTTTAATATGAAAGCCAGAGAGAATTTCAGCACCAAGGACAGCAGTAAGCATGAGTTTTTCATGAGAACACCACAGACTGACTTTTTGACTTGCGGCATTACAGTCTTGACAACTTTGCAGATTATTCCGGGTAAGAAACACCCACTTAAAAAAGGAAGAGATCAACAGACCAACATGTAAAGCAACAAATCACACTTTCTTTAGACTGCAGAATGCCATAAAAAGAGGGTTCTCTCACAAGGCTGTTTGTCCACAAAAGTGGAAGTAGTATAGAAACTCCACTCTTCTTCTAAGCATTATTTTAAAACTTTAGGTTAGGGAACACTATTCACTATTAACTAGTTGCTTATTAGCATGTATATTACTAGCATACTGGCTGTTCATTAGTATTTATAAAGCACATATTAATATCTTATTCTGCATGACCATATTCCAGATCCCTTAATATACCTAAACATAACTACTACAACAACTACTTGATTTACTATCAATATACAGCAAATTAGGAGTTAACTGAGGGGAAACTTTTAGTTAATAGTGAATATGTTCTTACCAACACCACTTATGGCAGTTTCAAAAGATCTCTGTTGATTTATCATGATAGGAGTCACTGCTATTTTGTTAGCGGCTGCATGACGTAGGTCACCTAATCTCTTTCTCTCCTTTGATGACATCTTAGGCGAGACGGCTTTATAGGACAACAGAAGAGAAGAGTCTCAAGAGTGTGTGTGCGTGTGTGTGTCACTGGTTCGTTTAAAGCGTAAAGCTGTCAGTCTGTATCATTACCCTTTAAATACATGAGCCTCTGCCGCAAAAAAGGTGGGAAAAGAAAGGCTAGAAAAAGCGAGAGGGAGAAGGTGTCAGTCTGAAATGTCAGAACGGTCATTACCCAAATGTCACACAATTATGACGCGTGTTCCTTTTCCTGCCCGGAGTGGCCTGGTGATTTGCTTAATTTGGAGAGGGGGAGAGGTGTGGCGGCATCAATGTTTAACGCCGCTTCAAATATACCACCCATCCTTCCCTCTGAATGCTGCCGGGTCAAGCCTTTAACTGAACACACACAGCCAAAGAGTCATGAACATACATGACCAGGTAATATATGGACACAGAGAAACAGTTTTATACTGTATACTGTATATGTATTGATATATAAAGTTATTTATAATATACTGATGTCGGTTTTATTATTTTATTAGTATATTCATAATTATACATGTTATAAAATCATAATAAAAATAAAACACATACACCACCATTCAAAGGTTGAGGATCAGTAAGATTTTTTAAAGAAAATAATACTTTCATTCATCAAAGGCACATTAAAATGAACAAAAGTGACAGTAAAGACACTTACGTCACAAAAAATTGTATTACAAAAATGCTGTTCCCTTGAACTTCCATTCATCAAAGAATCCTGGAAAAAAACAATGTATCTCTGTTTCCACAAAAATGTTAAGCATCACAACTATTTTCAACATTTATAAAATGAAGAAATATTTCTTGAGCAGAAAAACATCATATTAAAATGATTTCTGAAGGATTGTAATATTTCACAACATTACTGTTTTGATTGCATTTTTGATCAAATAAATGCTGCCTTGGTGAGCGGAAGAGACTTCTTTAAAAAAAAATCTTGCAGACCCCAAATATTTGAATGGCAGTGTACACATGAATAATATAAAACATTATATATGACTTTGTTTATTTTTCTTTTTTTTTTTAATTCAAAGACTAACTTTTGTATAAAATGAACTACTTTGTATAAATGTATGTTTATGTTTCATTTTATACCTTAAGATAACAGGTATATTGAAGTGTGTAAGTATGCATGTGTTTGGGTTTGGTCACACACACACACACACACGCACGCTCCCAGATGTGACAAATGTCAGATTAGCATACAGCAGCACTCCTGATGGTGGCCAACACATGCCTGCAGCTGCAAACCTCCCAAACCACAACCACCCTCTAACACACACTGGCACACTGCCTCCGCGAGCGCGCACACACACACACACACACACACACACAAACACACACATCTGAATGAGGACATTACACAGCCTTCTATTGTTTTATATACAGACAGTTATACTTTTTATAAAATAATCCCAACCCACACCCTAACCTTACCCCTCACAGAAAACTTTCTGCATTTTTACAATTAAAGGGGTCATATGATGCAATTTCAAGTTTTCCTTTCTCTTTGGAGTGTTACAAGCTGTTCGTGAATAGATAAGAGCCCTAAAGTTGCAAAGACTAAAGTCTCAAAACCAAAGAGATATTCTTTATCAAAGTTAAGACTCGTCCACGCCCCCCTAAAACGGCTCGTTCTAACACGCCCCCACATGTCTACATCACGATGTGGGAAGATTTGCATTACGCCGCCCAAATGTTCACGCAAAGAAAGAAGGCATGGCTTCATTGTTGCTGCTACTGCCGCCTCCATGTTGTGAAGACGCTGTGTGTTACGTTGCGAAAATACTTTGTTTGGCCAAAAAGAGGACACAACAAGAAACCAGTGGTTAAGTTGTATTTACAACACTGTTCCAGGACAGTTCAACCCAAATATTCAGATGTGTGCAGCACAATTTATGGAGGACTCTTTCCTGATCCTGGGAGAGTAGACCACAAACGCGAGTTTTGGGCAGTGTAGAGTAGGGCTTGTAGTTTGTCATTTCTCCGATCACAAATGCAGACATGGTTTTATGTTTACGCGGCGCGATGCAACGCAACGCATAAAAGGACAGTATAAGTCATTATAATCAGTAATTATGTCCCCACTGGATGCAACAAATGCCTCGTTTATGATGGGTTTTAATGTTTTTGTCTCGTCGCTCCGGGACACGGCATCACAGTATGGTAAGGGGCGTAACATTTCCGTCACACGCTTGAGGAATTCGGCCAATCACAACACACTGGATAGCTGGCCAATCAGAGCACACTTCGCTTTTCAGACTGACGATCTTTGTAAAAATCGACACGTTTCAGAAAGGCGGGGCATAGAGGAGAAACAATAATGTACAGTATGTCGAAAATAATGTTTTTTTTAACCTTAAACCGCATAAACATTTCATTACACCAAATACACAAAATAATGTTCTTTTTAGCAACATCATATGACAAGAAGTTTTTACAAATGAGGACATCCCCAAAGGAAGGTTTTTGGAGATCAAATTTATCCCTAAAATAAGTAAATAAATAGGTATACACACATGCGCACACACACACGCACACACACACACACTGAACCAACAATGGTCTCTACAACCTTTTTAAAAAGACCATCTACATACAACATCTTATATTATGAAAATATTTTACATTAAGTAAAATGCAAGTGTTTGCATTTTTTGTGTGTGCAAATTTTAAGTGCTTTTTAGCACTTTACAATGCAGTTGCTTAGGTGTTTCGAGAGGTATTTATCACATTGCCTTGTGGTTGTGAAAAGTATGCCGTCACTAAGGTGCTCAGAGTGGTGCAGTGTGCAAAATGAATCTCTTCCCATCCTGAGTGTATAGCAAAACGCGATTGGTCATGCTACGATTAGGCAGCGCAATGGGGTTGTTATCTGATTGGCTTTGAGTATACGGTGGGTGGAGTCCACCTATTTGTGGATTTGTGTCTTGAAATGTTTTGAAACATTGAAACATTTTGTATACATTATAAACTTCAAATTTAAAAAAATTTACTTTCTATAGATACAACAAATAACTATTTTATAAATTAGTTTTATACTTTTATAACATCATTTTTAATTTGATTGTCATTCACAATGCTTCATGGGATTGTAGTTCTTCCCTTCATTAAAGCTGTAAAGTACACAGTGCTGTACCTTTGTCTGTTTATCTGATTTTCATTTACTTTTTGCTTCAAACCAAAGTTTGTTAATGGTGTGACTGTTCTCGTAGTTGATTGGTTGGTTTGTTTCATGGCTCATAGCACTTTTAAAATCCCAATGAGAAAATGAATGGGTAAAAAACTTTACTAATCAGCACAGCTGAAAAAGTGGGTTGGGACTAATTCACTCTATGGCCACTAAGGTGTTCAGAGACATTTTAAGTGCAGTCGCTAAAATATTTTAGTCTGCTGCTAAGGTGTTCTGAGGTTTTTTGTTGTGTTTTTTTTTTTGGCAGACTGCGGTAGCTAAGGCATCAGAGGCTTATGCTGTTGGTCACTAAGGGGTTTTGAGATGTGTTCTGAGTGTTATGGGTTGTTCAAGTCACTAACCCTGAATATAAGATGTAATAGCAAAGCAATCTGTTTCCTTTAATCTAGTCTACATGCGGTCATATGTAAGCCTTGATCTTTGTGAAGGGTTTAAAATCCCTTAGGAAATCTGCACTAGTCGTTGTTTATTTGTTCCATTTGGCTCCATCCTGATCCAAACGGACACACTCTCTCTCTCTCTCTCTCTCTCACACACATACACACACACACACACACACACACACACACACACAGCACTTTGACCATGGGAATGAATGAAGATCTACCCAGGTGACTTTGTCTCTCTGACCTGTTCTGGCCCACTGCTCTTCTTATCTAGCGATTCATCCTCAAGACCTCTGCCAGTATTTGTTCTGACATTTTAATTAAAATAGTACTAGCTCATTCCTGTGATAAAAAGGCTGTGTTTTGCCCAGCGGGGCCCCATGTCCCGCACCCTCCACTGTGCCGGCCACGCACCTGAGCACACAAGCTCACACACACAAAGAAACAATTATAACATTTCTATTTTCTTGAACCACAGAAGTAGGTAAATTCACAACAAGAATCAATAGAAAAAGGTAATGCTTCAAAGGAGAGTATGTGCATGATGGAGGAGTGATAAAGGTGTGTTGAGATGCAGGCTGATAGAGGGAGATTGAGTTCGTTGGATGGAGTGAAGAGAGTTGAGGATGCCTTGGCCTAGATGACCTTGATCTTACTGCAATCAAACAAGACAGTCATCCCACCATCACACTCATCTGGAGTCAAGACACTGTTATTTCACAACTTATGATAAATTGGTACATTTTAGGAATTGTCAACTATGACATGAAGCTGTTGGTAAGGATCAGTATCAGGAAATGAAATCAAGTCAAGCTTCAAACTACTCACAATTTACAGTAGCTAAACTAGTCAAAATTAAATTATTATATAGCTAAGTACGATTATCACATAACAAAGACTGCAGTTTAATTAAATAAATATATGCACTGCGTGTTTCAGAGTGAAGCATGGACCGCTAACACGTTCTTTTACACGCTAACAGCTCATGATCCAATGTTTTCAGTGTCTCAGAGCAGTAAATGCTGCTCCTCACAAACTCATCTCTGCATGTAACTTCAATAATTATCTTTCCTAAATACTCATTTTTTATTTTAGATGGAAATGTTACAAAAGCACTATTTCTTAATTTGTTTAATATTTGTAATAATAATAATAATAATATATATATATATATATATATATATATATGTGTGACGCGCATATATGTATATATATATATATTAGTCATTTAGCAGACGCTTATATCCAAAGCGACTTACAAATGAGGACAATGGAAGCAATCAAAATCAACAAAAGAGCAATGAAATGCAAGTGTTATAACAAGCCTCAGTTAGCTTAACGCAGTACAGCAAGGTTTTTTTAAAAATTATATAATAAATAAAAAGAAAACAGATAGAATAGAAAAAGATTAGAAAAGCTAGCGTTAGTGGCCTTTTTTTGCTTTTGTTAATTGTATAATATATAAAAAGAAACATAGAATACAAAAAGATTAAAAAAAGCTAGTTTAAAAAAAAAGAAAGAAAACAAGCAGTAAACGAATAGAGTGCAAGTCTAAAAGGGACAAGTCTAAGAGGGCACATAAGCCTGAAGTAATGAATTTAGGTTTAGGGGTGCAAAGGCAGTGGTGGTTTTGTAGGCAAACATTAATGCCTTGAATGTTGTGAGCAGCTATTGGTAGCAAGTGCAAATTGATAAATAGAGGTGTGACGTGCATTTTTTTTTTGGCTCATTAAAAATTAATCTTGTTGCCGCATTCTGGATTAATTGTAAAGGTTTGATAGAACTGGCTGGAAGACCTGCTAAGAGAGCATTGCAAAAAGGGCCTGATCTTCTTGATGTTGAAAAAAGCAAATCTGCAGGACCGGGCAGTTTTAGCAATGTGGTCTGAGAAAGTTTCTGGCTGTTTTTGAATAAGTTATGGTTGATGTGCCTAACTGGATGGTGAAACTGTGATGAAACAATGGGTTTGATGAAACCACAAGCAGTTCTGTTTTGGCAAGGTTGAGTTGAAGGTGATGGTCCTTCATCCAGCAAGAAATGTCTGTTAGACAAGCTGAGATGCGAGCAGCTATCGTCGGATCATCAGGATGGAATGAGCGGTAGAGTTGAGTGTCATCAGCATAGCAGTGGTATGAAAAGCCATGTTTCTGAATGACAGAACCTAGTGATGCCATGTAGACAGAGAAGAGAAGTGGTCCAAGAACTGAGCCCTGAGGCACCCCAGTAGTTAGATGTTGTGACTTGGACACCTCACCTCTCCAAGATACCCTGAAGGACCTATCTGAGAGGTAAGACTAAAACCACTGGAGTGCGGTTCCTGAGATGCCCTTTGCCAATAGGGTTGACAGGAGGATCTGGTGGCTAACCGTGTCAAAAGCAGCGGACAGATCCAGCAAGATAAGTATTGAAGATTTGGTATCTGCGCTTCTAATATATATACACACACACACATATATATATATATATATATATATATATATATATATATATATATTAGGGCTGTCAGTTTAACGCGTTAATTAGTTTAAATAACACAATTTAAAAAATAACACAATTAAAATATTTTAATGCAGTTAATGCACTGGCCCCGCCCCCAGACCTGTACGTCTTACAATTACATCTTACATTTCATATACTTGACTGTTGACAAAAAAAAAAAAAAAAGGTCCTAAAATTCAAGATATTGGGGCAAAAAAAATGCCCCTGTATGAGTTTTTGTCTCATATTTATATCACATGATAAACGATATCACATGAGTAGCGAGAGAAATATCACACGAGTGCTGTTTATGTCTGAATAGCACGAGTGCAAAAGTGATTTCATACAGCAGTTCAGTAAATATTGTATTATATTTTAAACACAATATTGTGTGTTTTTGCGCCATTTTGCCAAAGAAAATATTACCTATAAAGCCACTGCAGAACTGTTGTGCGTCTGTGAGCAACATAGCGGTGTTTAGTTTCTGAATCAATCTGCATTTTGAATGAATCATATGAACCAATGATTCAAAGGCCCATTCATAGAGAGAGCCCTTTTCTTCATTCCTGAATGAATCAGCCATTTTAACGAATCAAATTAATAGAATGAATGAATGACTCAAAGACATTTACCACCACCTGCTGGCAGTTTTAGTTTCTTCTAGTGTCATTTAGTTAATTCATTCATAAATAAAAAAATTATAGGGATAATTCACATAAAATAGGAATAATAATATATTTTGTCATCATTTACTCACCCTCATGTAATTTCAAACCTGAACTTTCTTTTGCGCAACATACTGTAAAAGAAGGTATTTTGAAGACTGTTGGCATCAAAGCTGTTTTGGTTACCAGTGACTTTTATTGCATAAACAAAAAATTATCTTCTTTTATGTTCTATAGTTTATGTTAGGCCGTTGTAGCCTAAACATTTGTGTAATAAATTTTGTGTTTAATCAAATAAAATATTGCTTTTTAAAGCTATTATTTGTAATGTCTACTTTTGTGGGTATTTTCAAAGCCAAATTTATTTTGCGATTAATTAGATTAATCACCGCACCGTGTAATTAATTAGATAAAAATGTTTATTTGGCTGACAGCCCTAATATAGTATATATATCACAATAACAATTTTTATGAAAACACTTTTTCGCTTCAATGCTTGCCTTTTCTCAGATGCATCTAATTAGAACTAATTTGATTATTTAATCAGCATATAATGTAATTTTATTATTAATTGTAATTATTATTATTATTAGTTTTTGTGTTTAATGTTAACATTTATTAAAATATATAAATATTTACAAAACATTACCAATTTAACATGACATATGAGGGCTGCTGGGAACACTATTAAAAATAAAAAATGTTTTTTTTTCAATTTATTGAAATTAAATGTCTGAATAAACCATCTAAAATGATTAGTACTTCTTAACACCACTTCAATAACAGGAGTGAGAGGACATTCTAGAAAAAGCATGATTATTGGCATAGCTCACTCAGCTGTAAAGATGTGAGCTTTATTTTACAGTGGTTTGTCAGGCTACACCACTGCATATCTGAAAAAAAAGTCTTGTTACTTGAAAACCTCAGTGTTGTTTTAGTATAACTGAGATACTATTGTTTTTTATTAATACTTTTAAATCTGATTTTATATTTTATATATATATATATAAATCTTTGAAATCCAAACTCACTATATGAATTCACCCTTATGATCTGAAGGTAATGTGAGGTCATATGTGACAGGTCGTGCTCAGATTCACTCTGCAGGAGCCAAGCAGACCCTGACAGAGCATAATGGGAATCAATGGGAGCAGCACCTGGCCCCTGCCTGCCACACCACCATCAATATCAATCACTGTTATCGCCAATAACGTCTCTGTGTAAGCCCTTCGCTGAATGTCACAGCAATACCAGATCTTTCTTCTTTAAAGAGAGGAAGAGAAGATCTCTCTTTGACACGAGCGGCAAGGTTAGTTAAGTACTGTTAGCAGGATGTATAGCGGATCTGGATGTGCAATCGGAGGTTGATGCACAGAAGGACTGAAGATGTTAATGGGTTTGAATGATGGGGAGTTTTAATTGGAAGTGAAGAAGCTGGGTCAGGTCTTACTTTCTGAAGGTTCCTCTCCAAGAATGGTGGAAACGTGAAACAACTCAGATACAACTGGAGCAAGATCTTCCTGGGCCGTACCATATGATGAACAGGTCAAGTGGACCAAATCTGATAAAAAAAAGATCACAACAGACCATTTAGGGCAATTGAGGGTACATATTTTTTTTCATTTTTGATTTCATATGGTTCAATTTTATACCATTTCTGAGAAAATTTTAAATCCTCTAAAATGCATAAGAATGCTTTGTGGTAAAAAGTAATAACAACACTGTAACCATTATTATTTGTTATATGTTACCTTTTTTATTCATTACTCCAGAAAAAAGCCTCCATATGATCCTGTGTACCCAAAACTTACTAAAAATAAACTTGCAATCCTGAGAAAAAAGGTTAAAAATGTTTATATCTCACAACTCTAAGTTTTCCTCTCTCAATTAAAAAAAAGTCAGAATTGTGAGAGGGGAGGGGGGGGGGGGTTCAGAATTGTTAAGTCACAATTACCTTTTTTTAAAAAAATTTAACCTTTGGTGGAAACTATCTTCCATAAAATCAAATCTCAAGCTGCTGCATATAAGCTGCACTAAGCAAGGTTTCAAAGCATGCTTACTTTACTGGCAAAAACTTATATAAATAAGTATGACAAACTTGGCCAACAATCTGACAAGAACTACAGTAAGGCTCTGACTTTCCATGAAAGTAGCCCTTAAAGTGATGCAGAGGGGCAAAGAAGAAACGGGCACCAAAACTCAAAACAACAAATCTCAATCCTCATAAAGGTCTGAGAAGCTCTACTAGTGGGATCTGTGGAAATGTCCTGGGTAATCCCAAGAGTTCACACACCACTTCCAGGCTTATCATTACTTCCCCATTGTTTCTTCCTGTGGTCTGTGGTACAACACTGTGTGCGTGAGGATCAAAGAAAACAATCCAGTGCAGGCAGCCCAGGGCGGCACACAGGCTCCGTGTCACACATATGCAGGCATCTCCAGTGGGACAGGAGGTGCAGCTTCGCTAAAGGCTCTAAAGACACACGGGACACTGCAGAGTTTTGAAAAAGATTCTCGCCACAGCCAGAGACACTCCAGGGGCTGATTTTAAAAGTCCTGGGTAGTTGAAAGTGAACACTTTTGCAGTACAGGTGGATTCATAACATACCCATTTATGGGCATATATGTTCTATATAGAGGCTTGAAGAAAAAACTATGCTTTTTTTCCCTGTTGTATTTGAGTGGACACTTTTATATTACCCTACAGTATACATGAAATGCATGGAAGAATTCTAAACTTATGAAAATGCATAATTTGAAGTAGCACAAACAAGTAGTACCAAATAAATAAATAAATAAATAAAAACAATTTTAAAAGTCTATTTCATTATTTTTTAAATCATTTTCAATAAGAATTATCATTAAATATTAATAAATTGATTATTTATATTTTTAAGTGGCACTCCAAGTCCTCCATACATAGTGAAATGAGAATCCTCCATTAGATGTTTCAGATTATCACCTGCTCTCGCTCGCTCACTCGCTCTCCTTTGCTGCGCAGATAAAAAAGCCCTATTAATTTGCTGTGAACAAGAGCAGTCTCTAGATTGCTTTTCCCACACCCAGGGGTTGACCTGAGTTTCCCATCCCTGAATTCTGTGCTTAGTTTGCATGTGGTTGTAACATTGACCTCATCTTTCAATGATTACAACATGCATACATTCAAACATGTTAATAACTGCCAAAAACAAAAAGTACCAAAAAAAAAAAAAAAAAAAAAAAAAAAAATGCTATTTAATCAGCAAAATCAACACGAAGCAACATTTATAATCCATTTTACTTCCATAACATGTTTTAAACTGAAGTGAATGTAGATGATTTAATAAGACCAAACACTGCAAAAATAGAAGTATACGAGTCCCACTTAAAAAAAAAACGAAATCAAATAATCAAGTAATCAATCAATTCAAATAAATCCATTTTAATGTATTCATTCACAAAATGTAAATAAGTTACTTCCAAAATTGACAAATAAATGCAGCTATTTACATCTACTTTTAAAATTTATGCTTAAAAGTGTGACATAAAAATGCAATATTGCACTATTATAAAGCATTACAAAAAACAGATTTTCATCATAAAACAATCCCAACTTTTGAAATAATACACTTCTCACAATACTAACTACACTTTCATATTGGATGGATTATTGTACTTACATTAATATTTAACTACATTAATAAATTCCATATACAGTTGTAAACATCTACTGTCAATTTGAAGTGTACAGATACATAGTTATTATACTATAACTTTAAACAATTTTAAAAGTCTATTTCATTATTTTTTAAATCATTTTCAATAAGAATTATCATTAAATATTAATAAATTGATTATTTATATTTTTAAGTGGCACTCCAAGTCCTCCATACATTGATATCCTTTGGTTCAAACTTAGTAATGTCAGGCGAAATGCTGTATGATGAAAGTATAAAGCAAACAAATGGGGTCTATTCGGATTTCATATAGATTTTAAAGGTGAAGTATGCATTTCTAATGTTAAAAATGCTAATACTTTATATACTTAAAACTCGCACCCAGTGTAATGAGATGAGGCCGAATCTGAGGTAAAGTTTGGGGCAGGACGACCAATAACAGATATAATTTTTGCAATTCTGTTAGGTGCTGCCAGTGGCCCAAAATCACACACTTCACCTTCAAAGTCTATAATCAATAGTCGTGGTGTTGCTTGGAGCCCTCGAGAACACATCTAACATCCCCAGCAGCGTAACTAAAAGAGTCTTGTCATAAGTGGTTAATGATAAATAAAGAGCATCTTCCCCTGTGAACGCATGTCTGTCACGGTCATCATCATCTGCTGATTGCGAGGGATGCTCTCAGGTAGAAGTGCATTACTTAAAGAGGAACGACTACGATCCATCTCCCTGTGGGACCGGGCTATAGCAAAGCAAAGCTTCCTATCATTTCCCCTGAACTCAATTCCCAGAGAGAGGAAGAGGAGTTCCGCTGATTAAGCTTTTCATTCCCCCGTGAGGACGGAGTCGGTCACTGGGGCCCGCTCCACCATCTCCACCTGATCTACCCCTTCACAATGATTGATAGCAAAATAGGGCCGGTGTAACAAACAGAATAACTTTCATAAATAACAATGGAGTTAATGATGGAGTCATCGCTGTGGTGGGCGGTGAACTGAGTGTTTTGAAGGACAGTTTTGACATTTTCGGGTGTATTCTGAGACTATCAATGTTCATCACTCACATCATTTTTGGAAGATCACTAATAGTTTAAAATCTGCATTTTGTAAGAAGCATTTAAATGCACAGCACTGCTGGTCAAAAGTGTGTAAAAAAGTCCCTTATGCTCACCAAGACTACATTTACTTGATCAAAATACAGTAAGAACAGTAATATTGCTACAATTTAAAATAACTGTTTACTCCAGTCTTCAGTGTCACATGATCCTTCAGAAATCATTCTAATATGATGATTTGCTCAAGAAACTTGAAATTAACGTTCAAACCGTTTTTGCTGCTTAATAATTTTGTATAAACCATAGTACTTTTTTTTTCTCAGCATTCTTTGAACAGAAAAAAAGAACAGCATTTATTTGAAATAGAAATCTTTTGTATCATTATATGAATCATTGTAATGCACCCCTGCCGAATAAAAGTATTTTTTTTTTTTAAATATAAAAAAAAGTATTCTTATTTACCCAAACTTTAAAATGGTAGTGTATCATAGTTTTTTATTATTGATAGTAATAAGAAATCAAGCAAATCAGCAGCATATCAGAATGATTTCTGAAGGATCATGTGACACTGAAGACTGGAGTAATGCTGCTGAAAATTCAGATTTGATCACAGGAATAAATTACATTTTAAAATATATTCAAATAGAAAACAGTTTTTACAGTTTAACATTATAAATAGTAATAATATCTTACAATATTTTGTGTTTTTACCCTATTTTTGATCAAATAAATGCAGCTTATAAAACGGATAGTTCCGGTCCTTGATTCTGATTGGCTGAGCCGTGTTCGAAGCTGTTGTAAATTACACTACAAACATACACCTTTGTTTACTTCTGTGTGCTGCTCGGCACCCACTTTGTTGGAACCACAACTGTTTCGGAGGAACTACATTGTTTGGTGGAAGAATACTGTTTTTATTTAAATCATTACACTTTATTCGCACTCTTTTATTCTGTGAAACCTTACTACGTATATGGAATAACTGTTTTATAAAAGCAATAAGCCCTGTGAAGCCGTGGTTTACAGTGAATTTAAACCCCTTAGCTGTTATAAATTCACTGTAAACCACGGCTTCTTGGGGCTTATTGCTTTATTTGGTGAGCAAAAATACACATATTTTGGCCCTGTAGACTTTAACTTAATACAAAAACGGTACACTATCCATTAATAGGTTGTTGGTACATTTTGGAACTGGCAAAAGGAAGAATTGCAAATTGTTTGGAAATCATTGTTACGCTTGACAAAGCGTGGCGCAACATGCATTTACCATATGATTATGGTAATTGTATAACTGATGTGTGATCATGGCATGTATGTATTGTGGTGGATGTGTAACTCACAGGTGCCAGGCATGCAGGTCATGGAGGAGGAACAAAGCTCCACCATCCTCACAGCTGGTGCAGAAGATTCCAGAGGAGGAATCGTCACCAATGAGATCTGCCATTAAAACAGGAAACATACTATCTTATAGTTTACATAAAACATATGACTGACATGCCGATTCTCCCTGGCACTACGAACATAGTGCAGAATCACAAACATATTTTATTTTGCCCATGATGTAAGTTTGTCGAGTAAATACTGGCATAGATGATAATGCAAACAAGGCAGAGCTAAACCGAGAGCTAGACTGTGTAACAGGATCTATATAATCCGGTTATGTTTTCATACAGTCCTTGGGTTAAACTATGCTAAAACTGCTTTTTAAACAAGTCCAAGTGCGATAACTATGCCAACGAACTATGCCAGCGAAGAGAAAGCGTTGACCGAATGCTCGTTTGGCGACTGTCATTCCAAAGGACGAACGGCTAATTAAAACTAGCCTGAATATTTAATTACGTTTTGTCACACACAGTCATGTAATATTCCATTTCCACACTGTGTCAAGACACTGATATTAATTTCTGTTCGCTGAGGCTAATGAGCATAAATTACACCCACTTTTCCTTCCTCTCCTGATCTGCTTTGAATATTCAAGCATGAATACCTGATGGAGAGCAAATTGGGCTGCGATTCAGAAGGTATGCTGACCACTCCACTTCTTTTCCTGGACTCTGGTGGACAGCACTCAAATTAGCCTAAGAGGATGCTTGCGTGTCACCATCCACTCTCGCATCAGAAAGATTTATTTATCCAATTCTAAACCAGTAACAGCAAACAGAATTACTGTCCTTTCATTGAACTGGTTATTTTTTCCTCTCATAATTCACTTTAGAATGCTACGCTTGAGAACGGGACGTCAAAACTATTGTAACGATCCCACAAATCGGCTCTGATGTTTTGTTGCATCTATGCCTGCTGGATCTTGGACGTGTCCCAAGAATCCATCCAAATGTGATATGCAGCATAAAAAAGATGTAATGCAATACAAGTTGAAAAGCAAAAGTGCAAGGCGGGCAAGAAACGTGCTTCACAAACACACGCACAGCAGAGATGGGTCAATGCCCTTTAAACGTGCATGTGAATATTCAAAAAAAGGAAAGAAAGAAACACAAAAGAAAAAGGAACGAACAACAGAACAAATAAGAACTAAGAGAAAAACAAACAGAAGAACAAATAAAAGCACGAAAGAATGAACAAACAAAAGAATAAACGAAAGAAACGAAAACCATAATACGAAATTAATTTATAATTTTCATAATTTGAAAACCAAATTAAAGAACATCAAATAGAACAAGCAGAAAAACTAATAAAAGTATGAACAACCACAAGAATTAGCAAACAAAAGAACATACAAAATTAAATAAAAGAACAAATGAAAGTACAAACAATTGAATTGAAAATAAAAATAAATGAAAAAAAGCTTTATATACCTGCTGATCAGATTCTGAAGGTAGTACAGATCTGTCTGTGATGAGCACTGCTCGAGATATCTGCCTGTGAAGATGGAGAAAGAGAATTAGAATAAAAAAAATAAAAAACTTTAAAAAAAGACTAGGAAAAGAAGAGAACATATATTACGAAGGAGATTATCAGAAAAGAGAAAATTCAAACTGACCCTAAATCACATTTTGCCTTTTCAATTTACAGTAATTGCAATGAATAGTTTGCCCCCCAAAAATGAAAATTTTGACTTTCTTGTTTTTGGAAACAACAAAAGAGGTTTCAAAAAATGTTGTTGCTGCTCTTTTAATACAGTGAAATCATAGACTGACCAGTGGATGTTGAGCTTTAATAACAAATATTTATCGGAAGCGTGTATGCTGGGATTTCATAAATTTCATGGGAAAAAAGGTAACGTAACTAGTAATATAACTAATTACTTTTGAAATAAAGTAATCAGAACAGTAACGTGATTACGTTTTAAAAGGAGTAATCAGTAATTTGATTACATTTGCAGAGTAATTTGCCCAACACTGGTCGTCACACAAGGACAACTAAGAATATATATGATATTAGGGCTGGGCGATATAGCTAAAAAAATTTATCAACGATATAATGTTTCATATCGTTCGGTATCGATAATTATTGACATTTTTTTAACCTTTTTTAAAACAAAGAGGAATAGAAAAGTTTTTTAAATTTAACCACTGTATTTTTAAATTAACCCAATTTACTGAGACAAACAACAAATATTTTTTGTTTTAACAGTCAAACACAAAATAAAATTAAAAAAATATCTAATTTCTAATGTTTTATATGCAGATTAAATAGGTATTAAGGAAACTTTTGTCTTGTCTCCCGAGGCCACAAGAGGGCGCAATAAGCAAAATAATGCTGCGCATTAAATTGTCAACGCAAGGAAATAGAGTGCAGCAGTCATATTTGTCCGTCTAAAAAATGCGCTGAATTTGCGTTCAGTGTGAATGGCTTATGCTTATCATGCTCCACTGATGACGTTCTGACGCACACCTAACATTTGATTGTACTATTTTTGTATTCAAATGCAAATGTTTA